ACTCCTGCAACTTCTTTCACAACAGAGAAAGACTCTTCCTGGCTTGGTTTCACCTTCATAGCTCCACCTACAACCGTAGTCCCAATCAATTTATACAAGTTTTTCACTTTTTCACCCTTCATGGCTACTAAATCACCTCTCTTGACTTGCATAAAACCAACCCTCGCATAGTACTCATAACCCAAAGTGTGTAAAGCCCCCAAAGAAATTAAACTTCTCCTTTGTTTAGGAACATGTCTAACATTTGTCAATATCCTCACAACTCCACCAAACATCTTCACCTTCACAGTACATATTCCAACAGCTTTAGCACTAGAATCATTAGCCATCAACAAAGTATCGGCATCACAGGGGTTATAGGAATCAAACCACTCTTTATGTGGACACATATGGAACGAACATCCAGAATCTAAAATCTAAGAGTCAGAAATATTTTCATCAACAACAACAGAATACACATCATCTTCACTGTCATTCATGTCGCCAACAACATTTACAGAATTTGAAGTCTCTTAAGGTTCTTGCTTTATTCTTTCTTCTAGATGCTTTGTTAGTTCTTCACAGTTTCTCATAATATGTCCATTCTTATGATAATAATAGCACTCAATATCCTTCTTTGGGCTGGATTGGGAACGATCATCTCTTTTACAATAATATCTCCCTCATGACTTGCTCCTACCCCTATTTGAATCTGACTTCACTACTAAAACTTGTTCATTATGAGATGTACTACTAGGTTTTTTCATATTTGTAATATCTAAAGGAGCAGTCGACACCTCATTCACAGTCAACATCGACTTTCCAACTAAAAGTGTAGTCACTAAAGTCTCATATTATTTAAGTAGGGAGACCAACAAAATTACGCTTTATCTTCCTCATCAATTTTGACCTCTACACTTAACAATTGAGTTATGCACTTATTAAAATTATTTATATGATCCCCAGCATCACTTTCCTCATACAATTACTTCTTCAAATATAATCTATTTGTTAGAGATTTCGACATATAAACTTTTTCTAATTTTTTCCATAACTCAGAAGGAGATGTCTCATTCATAACACTATATTTTAGTACATGAGCCAAACTTAAACGAATAGTGATTAAGCTTCCAATTCTTTACAATCTTCATCTTTCATATTTTATGGTTTTTTTCCTTGCAACACTTTCAGTAATCCCTACTGAATCAGAGCATCTTTGACCGTACTCTATCAGATGCTGAAATTATTCTTTCTATCAAACTGCTCAATTTGCTCAAATTTTATCCCGGGCATCATCTTGACCTCTTTTTTTTTAATCTTCACCACATCTCTGATACCAGTTGTTGGGAAAAACACACCTCTACACCCACGCAGCAGAAAATAAACAAAAACAAAAATAACAGAAAAATAGAGAATTCAAAGATTTAGGTGGTTCAGAAAATTTCCTACGTCCACGGAAGAGGGAGAAAAATTCACTAACAGTTTCAGAATTACACACTCATATAACTTTCTCACTTTTTCTCTCTATCCAAAGCCCCTTACACCATTGCCTATCTCTCTCACTTTTCTCTCTCTCTCTTTCAAAATGAGACACTCTTTTTCTACACTTTTCTTTGAGCACGTATAAAATCTCACATAAAACACTTATTTATAAACTCCTAATTATTTATAAACTATTAACTAAGCGAGGGTTTAGAGCAAGAGAGCTTGGTTATAGATTTGAGAGTGGAAATCTCTAAATATATAATTTTATTTCTTCTAAAACGCTTGATTATAATGCATAATTATTTGTCAAAAGCACATATATCTAGTTGTTGGTTGCCGATTGCCGGTTGCCGATTGGTACGTACTGATTTGAGGTTATATTGCAATTAGAATCATGATAATTAAGGTCCAAAACATGTCCAATATTTTTCGAAACATGTCCAACATTTCAAAAAAGGATAAAATCAATTTTGATACTTTGTGTTATAGTAAAATATGCTTTTAATATTCTATTTTTTTGATAATATTAAAGTGGCACCTGATGTTTTTAAAAACATCTTTTTAGTACTCTAAAATTAATTTTTAAGATGCAAAGTGACCTTTGTACCCTTTTATTTAATTAATAAAAAACTAATAGATCTAGGAAAAAGTCATGAACTTTTTTACTTTGTTATTTTTATTTAAATATTTTAATGTTCTAATTTTTTTTAGATTTTTTAAAATACTAATTTCTATTTAATTGATAAGAATAGTAGTTTGAACATTATAAATCTTAAAACTTAATTTCAAAATATTCAGAAGATATTTTTAAAAATGTTAAGGTATCATTTTAATACTATAAAAATACAAGATATCAAAAACAAGACACGGTATTAAAATGATTTTATTCCTTTCAAAAAAATATTTTCCAAACCCTCAATTTCATGCTTTTGACTATGTACCCTGTCTTGATTTTAATTGTATGCTTATTATATTAATTAGAGCTTTTTGTTAGAAGTAATGGCATGATGTCAACTTTCTGAATAATTGGTAAATCTTGATGAAATAGACTTGTGATGGGTTTGACATGTTTTTTTTTTTTTCTTTTCTTTTTTCTCTTCCTTTAATTTGTCGTTTGGATTGATGTAAAAGTGGATATAATTATAACTTCAAAACACGTACGTTCTCTGAAAACTATTATCTTAATGATATTGGTGCGTGATTTTCTTCTCGATCGTATTATGCATTTCAAGATAGGCTTCCACGTGTATTAAAGAAAGTGCAAGAGAATTAATCTTAGATTCTAGAGAGAGCCAAAACAAATTTGTTTGTTATAAAATTAATTTCTACGAGAAACATGCTTGAATTTTGTAGAAATTTTATAATAAACAACTGTTAAAATTTAATGATTTTAACAAGCATTACGTGTATAAACTCGTAATTTTTTTAAGAGAGATGGTATTTTTGTTAATGTTTCGTTACTCATGAAAAATAAATGTTACATTTTAAAAATTAAAAAGTAATTTTTAAAATAATAAAGTATTATAAATGACATAATTTAAGAAGAATTTTTATAATTAATCTTATTAATTAGTATTGCTCGTTCTAATCCTTTAATCCACGTGACATTTTTTTTTTTTGAACCAACAAAAGAGAGGACTTTTCTTGTCGTGTTCTTTTAAGCATATGAGGTATCTTTGATAGCTGCTTCTCGCGAAAATGTAATCCACGTTATATCAAATTTTCTAAATAAAGAGTTGAAGAAGCAAAACAAATTGTTTACTTCAGACAATTTGCTTTTCGTAAGACATAAAAATACAAAAACTCGTAGCAGTCTAGCAGACGATAATTCTTTCTTCTTTATTGGCAAAATACTTTTTCTTTCCCCTTAACACACCATGTTTTCTATTTCGACCTTAAAAGAGTAGTTGATTTTAATTCCTAATTCATATATATAAATATACATACAAAAACATACATATATATATATATATATATTTTATGAAAGTACACACACATATATATATATATATATGAATGTCATAAATACCCGAGTTGTATGTGTCACGTATCATGCATGTACTACGTGACAGTATAAAATTTGAATAATGATCAATGATTTATTTCGACTTTGTGTAACTATATACTAGGGATATATATATGCGATGTAGGGAACTTTTTCAAAATCTTAGATATTATAAGGATCTACTTTTCCCAAAAACAAAAATGATAAAATTTTGATTCTTCACGCTATTAATAAATCACTTTTTATACATGTAGAGCAAGAACGATGTCCGTAAGGCTTTTTTATACTTTTCCAAAAACGTAAAAGAACGATCTATTTTTCTGAATAGAAAAACGTTGAAATTCAATATTTCAAGTAATTAATCAATCATTTTGAATTTCAATATTTCACATAATTAATCAATCGTTAGCTTTTATTAAGGGTAAGAACTATGTAATATATGTGAACGTGGGGACATTTTCTTATTTTTCCAGAAACTCACAAGGGGTGTATTATTTTCTGATCAGAAAAACGATGAAATTTCACTACTCCGCATAATTAATCAATCATTTTTTTTAAAATCTCAATGCTTATTCATAATTTTATGTAGGGTAACAACTATAGATATAATATATGTGAACGCAAGACATTTGTATTTTTTCGAAAACTGCTAGGAGACCTTCCTGAAAAAGATAAAACGCGGAATTCATTTTTCACATGTTAAAGATGAAAAATGATTACATTCTATAACGTTTTGTTACTCTGAAAATTAATTGCTTCGATTAGTTTCTTTAAGGGAATAATTGCTTCAATTTAGATCTATGAGATAAACTAATAACCCATTTTAACTCATAAGTTTGAACATAGAGTTTGAAAAGAAGTTTATGTTTATTCAAATTTTCGTGAGAAAAGTATCGTAACAAAAAAAAAGTTTGTCAATAATCAAAATTTAATGCCATTTATTTTATGCATTTAAATCCATAATTTTAATTGTGTTACAGTCTCTTTATCTCACAAAAAATTTAAATTTCAAATGTCAAAATTAAAAATTACTAATTTAAACATATCGACACATATGATAAACGCTTTTATGTTGCCGATTTTAGTAGCAGCAACACTATAATAATCATAAGGTAATATTTTATTCTTTTTTTCTTTCGTTCTGCTGGGATTATAACAACAAGTTTTAGCTAGAGACTTTTTTCTCACATTTTTTTTTCCTTATGAAAACTTATTTCTCACATTAAACAACAAGAAAGAGTGCATTTTCAAGTTTCCCCATATGACGATTTGGTAGAAAAGTATTCAGACAACGTGTCAGCAAATAGAACAACGTTATGCCAATCTCACTATGAGTCATCAACGTGTAGCTTACGTGTAATTAGTAATCGCAATCTGCAAAAATGTTGAAGAAAAAAACACATGCAGAAGAAGCGACCATAATCCAATCTCTCTCTAATCTATATATATGTAGGAGCATATCATATCAGAGCCTCGAAAAATCTCTGTTATTTTCTCTCTTTTGAATTCTTTCATTGAATCTAAAGTTGCATTAGCTTGTGTTTATCTTCAATACCCATTTCTTTCTTTTGCTTCCTATACACCCATTTTCATTCAAAAGAAGATTTTCTTGTTGTGTGATGGAGAATTGGGGCAATAATCCTCTGCAGCTCAAGTCCTTGAATCACATTTCTCTACTGTGCAGATCACTTGAGAAATCTCTTGATTTCTATCGGTCTGTTCTTGGGTTCTTCCCTATTAGGAGGCCTGATTCCTTTGACTTTGATGGTGCATGGTATAGTATAATAATAACTCACTTTTCTTCAAACAAACAAACAAAAAACAAAAAAAAAATCTTTTTTTTTTTTGCTAATTAAAAAAAAAAGCTATTATGGTGATCATGTTAGGGATGTTTTGGTTTTCTGGGTTTTTTTGTTTTTGTTGTGATTTAAAGGCTATTCAGCTATGGCATTGGCATACATCTCCTCCAATGTGAAGACCCTGAAAAGTTGCCCAAGATTAAGAGGATCAACCCCAAAGACAACCACATTTCCTTTCAGGTAACACTGCACTTGTTTACCTTGTCTCTTTTACCGTCTGATCATATAGAATCACGTACCATATTAACAGTCTAAAAATATATATTAAGTGTTAATAGGGTAAATTTTTAAGAATTTTTACCATAGAAACTGTCCCATCTCGTTACCCGTAGGAGTACCATTGCTTTAACCGTGTAATTACTTTTTCAACCCCAAAGACAACCGCATTTCTTTTCATGTAACACGTCGGAATCACATCCATACTATATTAACAGTCTAATAAAAGTCCGTTTAGTTTGTTAATTAGTAAAAAGTTAGATGTGACTCGTTGCTCTGGTAGGAAACGTTAATTTAACCGTTTTATAACTTTTCTGACCGGAGCATTTTTTTGAGTGGAGGTGTGATTGAACCAAAGTTTTGAACAAATACTATATGTAGTAATTTCTAACCGTAATTTATTTATTTTATTCTTTTTACTCTAATGAATTAAGCTTGTAGTAAAGTTAACTTTTTTTTAGAAGTAATAGAGTTAAATTTAATATCCAATGTTTACAGTCTAAAAAATTGTAAATTTATAAGGTAGCATTTTGATTTTTGGTTTATTTTAGACTTAAATTTGAAATAAGAATATACTTAAAATCAAAACTTTAGGTTTAATTAAAATTTTCTTTAAAAAGCTATGGAGAAAGGACAATAAAAAAAATTTTGAGTGGAGGCAAATAAGGAGAAAGATGTCAAAAATTATAGTATTAGGGTCAAATTGTAAAAGGAGTTTTTGGAATGGGAGCAGCTGCCCTCAATGGGCGGAACATAGCTTTGCCCTTGTTTCCAACGGTCTGATATATAAATGTTTATGTTAAAAATTTACCGTATGCATGTTTACGTTAAAAATTTACCGCATGCGATGCAGAATTGCTCGTTTATACTATTAAAACAACAGTAATGGGGCATAACATAGCTTTGCCCCTGTTTCTAACGGTTTGATATATAAATGTTTATGTTAAAAATTTACCGTATGCATGTTTACGTTAAAAATTTACCGTATGCATGTTTACGTTAAAAATTTACCGCATGCGACGCAGAATTGCTCGTTTATACTATTAAAACAACAGTAATGGGGCATAACATAGCTTTGCCCCTGTTTCTAACGGTTTGATATATAAATGTTTATGTTAAAAATTTGCCGATACAGAACTGCTCCTTAATTATACTATTAAAACAACAGTAATGGGCGTAACATAGCTTTGCCCCTAATTCTAACAGTTTGATATATAAATATTTATGTTAAAATTTTGTCGTGGTAAATTTTTACCGTATGCGATACAGAATTGCTCCTTAATTATACTATTAAAACATGAGTTTTTAACCGTATGCATGTTTAGTTAAAAATTTACCATATGACATACAGAATTGCTCCTTAATTATACTATTAAAACAGCAGTAGGTTGCAATGAAAAAGACAGTCTGTACCATAGAAATTCCCAAATGTTTTATGAACTTCTTTATTGAGATTATAAATGGGAGCCTTTAATTTTGTTGGGCAGTGTGAGAGCATGTCAACAGTGGAAAGAAAGCTGCAGGAGATGGGGATAATCTACGTGAAGACCAGGGTAGAAGAAGGTGGGATCCACGTTGATCAGCTGTTTTTCCACGATCCAGATGGCTTGATGATCGAGATTTGCAATTGTGACAATCTCCCAGTGGTTCCCTTAACAGGAGAAACCGTCAGATCATGTTCAAAGATCAGTTGCAATGTGCATCAACAACAGCAGATAAAACAACAACAACAAGCAGTTCAAATAAACCAATAGTACTTAAAGTGGATAGTTAAGAGGTTTCATTTTGTATAAATTAAGGTTTTTAGTTTGTGTCTTTTTCTATGTGATGATTTACCTTTTTTATTTTGTCTTTTTTTTTTCTTCCCTGTTTTGGGAGTGTACTTAATGAGTTTCTCATAATTTGCAAATCTTTCTGGTTTAGCTCATCTTGTAATCTGAATTTTCTTATCCTGATTGAGAGCGAGAAATATTGAGGGGAAATTTCCCAGTTTTCCAATTTAATTTTGTTGTAGAATACTTTAGAGATAGAGAACTGTATATATTGTACTGCATCAAGTCTAAAAAAATGTTATTTTTCGGAGCAAAAAAATTAAAAATGCAAGTTCAAAAAGGATGTATAAAATACAATTACGTATCCTAAAAAAAAAAACAAATACAATTATATAAGTTTACTATTTACTTTTGTTCTAGGTAAATAAGAGAATTAATGAGAGTTACAGTGGAATTCATGTGCATAGTTACAACGTAATTGTGATGATAACAATTGAAAATGTGCTCTATGTTTTTATTACCACCAAATTCCAAGAGACTATGTCAGATAAAATCTGTATATAAAAGAAAAAAAATGCTTAAAGAAATAGGAAAAAAAAAAAAAACAGCTCTGGAATGTTCTAAATTCCATGATAAAATAACTGCCGACCGATCAATGCATAAAAGTCAAAATATTAATCACGATGAGTGAGAGCATATAATGCAGCATAAAATTTAAGAAAAAATAAACAAGACATGTTAGCTCCCGGAATATACCAAATTAACAATATTTGAACACAATGCAAAATTAGACTATGATTTCTTGTCTTCATAACATCCCAAAAAAAAAAAAAAAAAAAAAAAAAAAAAAAAAAAAAAAAAAAAACCAAGAAAAAATTGAGAAATTGTATTCTCTATCATTTCTTTAGTACTCCTTTTAAAGATCATTTAGTTATTTATTGTGCCCTTCGCAGGAAAACTGGATCTCAAATCTTGATAAAGAGCCGCAGTACATATCCACCATTTATAAATTAAGTATTCATTGATATTTTAAAAACTAAATATGGTTATTTATGCATTTTGCTTTGTGAAATAGATCAAAAGAAACCTAAATTCAATACAAGTATGGAAGATTGCCCTCTAAATAGTGCCTGTTGCACATATATGATAATCTGATCTGATCTTTAGACCTACCAACAAGCAAGAGAAACAGAAATACACTAAACTGCTTTTGCAATATGTACGTGTGTGTGTGTGTATATATATATATATAGTCAGGAGGCAAAATGGATATAAAAATTGAACTTACCCTCTACCAATGAGATGATTATAAACTGTACCCTTCGGCCATTGAAGCTTGGAACTAAAGTAAGAGAGGAAAATAGAAGAATTAGGAGCTCCCTTCAGTCCAAAACAAAGAACAAAATTGCATCCAATGATCATTCAGTTCATGTTTTTGGACTGCAAGGAAATCCCATTTCTGCAATTTTCACATAGTGATCAAGAAAGAGAAGAAAAAAAAATAATAGTAATAATAAAGGAGAGAGAAAGGCAAGAAGAGAATTAGGTGATTTTGAGCATTTATAGAAGAGCTTTTTCCTAGTACTAGAGACTATGGAGTCTACATGGTATAAAGGATGTTTTCTTTTTCCCTCCTTTATTTCTATCTTGAAAAAAAGTGTCGTTTTAGCTAGGCTTATTGGGAGAGTCTTCTTAAGTGTTTAACCACCAAGGCTACATTTTCATAAATGCATGACAGCAAAATGACGAAATGAGTGGCAAAATTCTAAAGCTGCCCACCATTAATTAAGTGTTTGTTTGTTCGTTTTTTTTTTTTTTTTTCTTTTGCAGAAGATAGAAATCTCCTGCTACAAATGCAGGCCTAGTGCAACCACAGTTTGGTATTTTTAATGGCCATCTAAAGAACTATTTTGAGTTCCTCTGTTTCTAAACAAGTTTTCCATTTTTTGTTTTGTCTAAGTTAATTGTGTTTATCATAGGCTAGAAAAGAGCTGGTTGAGATACAAACAATTCATTTTATTCAGGACCCGTTTAATTCGTTGATTCAAGTTTTTAATTTGAGTTAAGATGTGATCTTCTGTGAGAGCTTTTATTATAGTAAAAATTTTAGATGTGACTGTTTTTTATAGCTTTTTACTATAATAAAACTCAAATTTTAAATTCAAATCAGTAAAATAAACGATGCAGATTAATCATATTTTTTAGAAGCAAGATTTCCTCAAACAACATATTTCAAGCATTCATTAAAGTCCACTTTGATTGATGAGTGACATCTAACAAGAAAAGCCTGAATTAATAGAATTTCATATCATGTTTTGAGTACTTTTTTCCTGAAAATACAAGTGTGAGGTACAACTTTTTTTTTATGCTAAAAGGAAAAGGTTATAGAGATGGAGAATGGCATATTCAAAAAATCTTGGTGAGGTAGTATGTCCCGCGTGGTGTACAGTGGCGAGCCAGAAAAACGTTTTAGGAGGGTGAATAAGGGATAAAATTTTAAAAATTTTAGTATTGGGGGCAAAACCTTTGCCGAGCCCTTGATCCCGGGGAACAGCTGCCTCCTCGGGCCTCATATAGCTTCGTCTCTTGTCGCATATTGTTTCCTTACGAAATGGATTGTATATCCATCGAGATGGAAGACTCAAACTCAAAAACTTATTGAAAAGAACAAACAGTCTCACCATCTTATTAAATGACGGTTGATAGATACTACTTGCAACTTTTATTGCTAACTATACTTCCAGCTCTCTTTAATTCCCTTTGTGGTTCCATGTGACCTTGGTGAGAGTAGTTTATTTTTCTACTAGCCCCTCCATAGACTAGGATATCAGAAACCACTTTGCTAAAAGTCACTGTTCTCACTTGGTTTCCCATGGAAGGAAAAATTGAAATAGGACTGTTTTTCTCTGCCACGATTAACCACTATACCTTATTGATGGTGAAGTGCAATTTCTTTCCATCCAAACATTTATTCCTTCCTTTTCCCCTTATGGTTTCAATGACTTTGACTCGCCTATTCTCACTAGAATTTAGCTTAGTGGATTTAAGCCAAACTTGGCAAACTATTTAATACGCAGCAAATAACTCCATTTTTCCTTTCGGAACTAATGACATACATTCTAACTGATTTTTTCAGCTCATATTTATCTCTTCCTAACACACACATGCATGTGCACATGTGCATGCAAACAAGCTAGGGAGTCCAAACCCAATTCACTTTCTTTTTAACCAAAAATATGAATTCCTCGCGTAAACTCACCACTCTAAAGATAGTTTGGCATTGTAACTTCAATTTAATTTTTTTTTTTTAAAGAATACCACATCAAATAAGGCGCATATTATTAAAGAAAAAAAAAATATCAGAGCTACAAACACTTCAAAATTAAGTAACATGGTGACTTCAATGACTCTAGTGAGAATTATCGATTTGAAAATTAATATAACTTAATCTTGTGAGTCATATTTTAAAAGTCAATTTGGTATTACTTTTTCGGATTCTGAAATTAAAAATATTTAATAATAACACGATATAAGTAGTGTATTTCTTAATAATTTTCAAAACTACTTTATCGATGTACTTTATCAATTATTTGAATAAGCATGGTGCCTTAAGAGCCTGAATGGAAGCTAAATTTGTGGTGTTTAAAACTTACTATAGAAAAAGAACAATAAAATAAAATAAAAGGGAGATTCTTTGATAGAGAGTCCTTATTAGTAGGGCTAATTTCTGATCGTTAAAACTAATAAAAATCGAATCAAATTGAAAAAACTATGCAGAACATACAGTTTTTGATAATATCTGACGGTTGAAAACGGAGATTTTTCAGGGTATTTTTTCATACTCAATAAGAGAAAATCCCTAATTTCTGTGACGTCTAAGGTGAAGACTTACAAGCACCAAAATAGAATTCAGGTAGTTTATGAGAAGGACTTTACACGAATATGATAACTGCATCAACAATCATCACAGATCTGAGGAGGCAAGGGTACAATATAGTGTTCCCTAAATATAAGGGCTTCTTGTAATGGTTTTAGCCCACATATATTGTCCTACAGACCGGGGGTTACCCATTGAGAGCTTCAGAAGTTGAGATTTTCAAACCCCACCATGGAAGGATTGGAACTAAAATACAAACCCATTAAAGCCATGTTTCAATATAGACCCACTAGCTTATATCTATTTCAATTTATTTGGAAAAATGTTGTGGTGGGTAGAACTATTTCACTATTTCATTTTCATACATGGGTTTGGTAATAATGCTTAGGTCCATGGCCTAGAATGTGGACAAAGTTTTTGGTCTATGAGCATTGAGGGCTATGAGGACCACAAACATGTATATATGTATATATACATATATATATATATATATATATTTATATATAGGTCAATGTTAGAGATATCATGGCCGAAAGCAATAAATAATTGTTACCCATTGGGGGGTCTAAAAGAATTCCTAGCGTTTGTTTTGACCCTACAAGGACAGCCCAACATATATTAAATTAGTAATGTCTGCCCATTCCAATAGTTCATCCTGGGACATGGGCTGAAACCATGGAAATATTTATTTAAATTTCTTAGAGATCGATTTTTCTTCAAAGTTTTGTATATTATTACACTGTTATAATGAACGGGTTAAATGTTTGTTTGTGAATTGTGCTTGAAGAGTCAACCAAATAGTAACCATATTAACCTCTAATGTGCTAAGCAAGATTTGTCATTCAAACACATCCCAACGTCAAACAAGTAATTGTATTACAAAATCATAAAATTATGAATCTAGGACCCATAATTTACATAAATTGAGAGATTATAAGCAGCTAAAAAAAAAAAAGAACAGCATAACTTGATTTTTATTTTCCTCTTTTTATATTGTAGAATGTATCACTCTCTGGAGCATATGTGACCACAAAGTTTTCTTTTTTATATTAATTAATATATGAATAATTGTGGTGCAACAAGGACTTCGCAAAATTTAAAAGTTTAGTCCT